TAATTAAATTTGTTTTAATGGGTGGGGATGCTTTGACACACATTCAATTACAATTAATAAAAATTATTTAAATTAAACTTTATTTACAACTTTTTATTTCTAACTTAAAATCATCTCAAAATCCCAACATAGGTAAAGTTTGACTTCTTAGGTACTCCACTGTGTATTAAATCACTTCCTGTGTATAGGGATTAGAAGACAGACGACCACAGGTAGTCTGCAAGCCCTCAAGGCATTCACACCTGTACAAAATAAGCCCCTCCCTCACCTGGAATTTACCACCCGGTAAAAAAATCTCTGCCTTTAAGCTATTATGCCATTGAACTATTCAGCCCTTGAGCCATTAAGCCATGCAGAAAACGCGTGTGTTTTGTATATTTTGTAAATAAAACCATTTTATCAAAAAAAAATTGAATTGTAATTTTGGGAAGCCGCCAGCCACTCTGTGACACTGGATTCAAAAAAATCCTTACAAATAGAGATACATAGCGGGTTCTAGTAACTGTCTACCAAGCCTCCTTGTTTATTTCTCACGGAGATATTAAGGAAGCTCTAAACACTGCACACTAAAGAGTTCTATTTGTTTGGTAGTTTTATTAAGCTAGAGTGATCTGCCCTTAGAAGAAAAATAGAATAAATGGGAATCTACAGTTAAAGACACTATATCTTATGAATTAAAGTATGCTTAACATTATTTTACACCAAGATTAAGTAATTGAATACATTATTTCCATTAATTTAACAACAGTAATTTCTGTTCACAGAAATAAGGCAGGCACCCTATGTTGAAAATGAACTAGTACACTGAAAATGTACACCTTTATATGATATATTTTTCTCAAAGTCCAAAAAGCATTTTTAGCTCACCTCGACGAAGTCGAGATGAGCTTATACTATACCCCCGGCCCGGCGTCGGTGTTGGCGTTAGCGTCGGTGTCCCGGTTAAAGTTTTAGGAGCAAGTCCATTCCCAAGTAACTGTAAGCCCTACCTGGACCAAACTTGCATGGATGATGCATCTAGGGATGGACACTACCACACTTGCTTCGGATGCTGGATCTGACCTACATTTTCCAGTTGAGTGACCAGGTTAAAGTTTTTGGAGCAGGTCCATTCCCAAGCAACTCTAAGCCCTATCTTGAACAAACTTGCATGGATGATGCATCTAGGGATGGACATTACCACACCTGCTTCGGATGCTGGTTCTGACCTACATTTTCTAGATGAGTGACCAGGTTTAAGTTTTTGGAAGAGGTCCATTCCCAAGTAACTATAAGCCCTACCTGGACCAAACTTGCATGGATGATGCATCTAAGGATGGACACTACCACACTTGCTTCGGATGCTGGATCTGACCTACATTTTCCAGATGAGTGACCAGGTTAAAGTTTTTGGAGCAGGTCCATTCCAATGCAACTCTAAGCCCTACCTGGACCAAACTTGCATGGATGATGCATATAGGGATGGACACTACCACACCTGCTTCGGATGCTGGATCTGACCTAGATTTTCCAGATGACTGGTTAAAGTTTTTGGAGCAGATCCATTCCCAAGTAACTATAAGCCCTACCTGGACCAAATTTGCATGGATAGTGCATCTTGGGATGTACGCTAACCAACCTGCTTCGGATGCTGGATTCGACCTAGATTTTCCACATGAATGAATTTTCGCCATATTTTAACCAAATTAGCATGGATGATGTAGCTAGGGATGGTCACTTCCAGACTTGCTTTGGATTCTGAATCTGACCTACATTTTCCAGATGAGTGACCAGGATAATTTTTTGGAGTAGCTATATAACATTATGGCCTGTTTTGATTAAACTTGCGTAGATGGTGCATCTAAGGATGAAAACTTTCAGACTTACTTTGGGTGTTGGAACTGACCAAAATTTTCTTGATTAGTAAACAGGATAAACATTTTTTTGAACAGGTCTATTTCCAAGTAACTATAAGTCATACTTAAACCAAACTTGCATGGATATTGATCTTGGGATGTACATTAACTAAAAAAAGAATATGATAACATTCGTCGAGGTGAGCTTCGTAATCTTTGATTACCTATGTTTCATTAGTATTTAGAGCTTCCTTAACATGTAGCAGTGAAGGAGAAATTCAGGATTACTGTATAACAACTTATTCGAGAAGTGGTGTTAATTAAATGTGGATACAAAAAAACTTAAGAACTTTTTGAAAAGAAATCACAAAGTTTTACCAAAATCAATAACATCAAAACCTAAACCTTTTAATCACTTTATACAACCATTCCCGAAGAGAAATTAAGGACCAGGCTTTTTACATCATAAACAACTGCTTCTTCGATAAAAATTGAGCAGGTAAATTTGCATACTTTGTCACAGGTCATCTTGCAAACTTATTTTGTTTAAAAAAAAGTTCTGATTCTAAGCACAGTTACTCCAAGGGTGATCTTAAAAAAGAAGCTTAAGTTTCTCACTGACAATATCTATGTTGTATTTGGGGACCAGGTCTTCCAACAATCTGTTGGAATTTCTATTGATACTAATCGTGCCCCGTTATTAGCAGACCTGTTTAAGTATTCTTATGAAGCAGAATTTATTCAAAAACCTACTTGAAACGAAGAAGTTTCTTTGTGTGGCCTTCAATTCCACATTTAGATATATCGACGATGTTTTTATCAATTAACACTAGTATTTATTTTCATATTCCTGTTGATTCGATATATCCCGTTAAATTCGAAATAAAAGACATCACAGAGTCTGGCACATCTGCGTCATAATTAGATATCTTATTAGAAATCGACATTGATGGCAAACTACATGTAGCAACCACTTTTATGATAAACATGATGAATTTAACTTTTCTATCGTCAACTTTCCTTATATATGTAGCAATATGCCATTATCACCTGCATATGTTATGCCTTCCAATAGATTCGATATGGAAGAGCATGTCGAACAATTTCTAAAACGAAGCAGGCTTTTAACAAATAAATTGATACAAGGATATCAACAATCTCGTTTAATGTCAACATTGTCCTTGTTTGCAAATGCAATCTTTCGTAAGGTCGAATGTTGACTGACGTATTTCATGAAATATATGGAGAAATCGAATAGTATTCAAGCTCAAAAGTCCATTAAACAATAAAAAATAGGAGCAGAGCAAACACGGACCTCCAAAACATAAGAGTTGGGATCAGGTGCCATGGAGGAGTGAGCATCCCCTGCCGACCGGTCACACCTGCCGTGTGCTCCTTGTCATGATCCGGAAATAACGGAAAAATCCGTCAATTCAGTGTGTAAATAATGGCCTAACAATTAGTATGAAAAAAGTCAGTCAGCATTTGACTCAAAGATAAACTGTATTTGCTGACAAGTCATTGTGTCGACCATAGAACTTACGAAATGATGACTTTAAATACAAATTGTATGAAATACATTATTTTCACAATGGATTTTTCCGTTCATCCGATCATAACAAGGGGCAAACGATGGGTGTGACCTGTCGGCAGGGGATGCTTACTCCTGCATAACACCTGATCCAACCTCTTCTGTTTTCAAAGGTCTGTGTTACCTCTGTTCACACTTTGCATTGTTTAAATGGACTTTTGAGCATGATCACTATTCGTTATCTTCACATTTCCTTTGCCTCTTTCTTCACATTTCCTTTGCCTCTTTCTTCACATTTCCTTTGCCTCTTTCTTCACATTTCCTTTGCCTCTTTCTTCACATTTCCTTTGCCTTTTTCTTCAAAATGTTCATTAAATAATCGTATGAATTTATCACACTCTTTCTTTACATTATATCTGTTTGAGTCACCTGCGGGTTGTTAATACCATAACAAATGATTCTCTCCCGCCCCCCCCCCCCCCAGGGTGTTTCTCATGAATGCACTGAGAGAGGTTTATGGCATTTTCCCGCCTTTGAAACGTTTTTAAAGACCTTCCTTTACAGCTGTACTGTCTATCCCGACTATGTCAATAAACCAGCTTTTAATATTTCTTTCTTTTCAGTAAGGTACCATGTTGTCATGCAGTCAAAGTAGGGTTATTCGAAAAAACGGAAGTAATAATAATAATGATAATAATAATGTCCTTTATTTATACAGGATAGCACAATTAGTGTAGAAAACTAGTTTACATTGTGGTCCTGAAAACGTTTATTCAGACAGCAAGAGTATGTACAGAAACAAATTAATATAAAGAATATGAAAAAAAGCGTGGTCTAATAAAAATAATATTAACACATGATATAATGTAAAACTTCCATAAAAAGAACATAATCAATGAGGTGTTTGGTACATTTTAGTTAGTTTGTAGACTGAAAATAATTTCTGATATATGCTGATTTAAAACTTTGTAATGGGGGATTACACTTTAAAGATTCTGGCAATTCATTCCATATTTGCGAGCCGTAAATTGTAAAAGATCTTCTATAATATTCTGTTTTTTGCCCCCGGTATGTACAGTGCGTTGCTTTGGCTTAATCTAGTAGATCTGCTGTTTATTTCATATACATATTTATAAACATCTAAATAATTTGGAGCTAATCCATGCAGAACTTTAAAAACAAGAATGACAGTTCTATATATAAAATAGTCATTTAGAGGCATCCATTTGAGTTGCAGAAACATTTCTGATGTAGGTGTATAAAAGGTTTTATTTAAAATCACTCTAGCGGCTCGCTTTTGGAGTTTACACAGTTTGTTAAGACCGTCTTTGTTCTTCATATTGCCCCAAACAGTACAGCAGTAATTAAATTGAGGAAAAACAATTGTATTGTAAATTTTAAGCAATAACTCCGAGGACATGAATGATCTTAATCTAGATAAAACACCTATTTTGCCTGCAAGTTTTTTTTGTTAAAATTTCAACATGTTCAGACCACGTAAGACACCTGTCAATGTAAACACCAAGTAATTTCGCACAAGATACATTTTCAATAACAATACTGCCCACTTGAATAGATAGATTCCTACAGTTTCTTAACCTTTGTTCCGTACCAATTAACATACACTGAGTTTTTTAAAGATTGATTGTTAACTTGTTTTTCTCCATCCATTCTAACGTATTGATAAGATCGCTATGTAATTTATTTTCAATAACATTTATACTCTTATCTGAGACATCCTGAGTTGTATCATCAGCATACATATGAGCTGTTGAGTAAAAACACAAAATTTATAAACTGTGGTCATAAGGAACGTTTTACGCCTTTTATTTCAAATAATTTAGAAACATGCGATAAGTCCTTTAAGCAGTCTGGGTACATACAGAATAAAAAACAATGGCCCAAGTATTGATCCTTGAAGAACACCTATAGTAATGTCTAATTTTTCTGACTGAATACCATTCCACCTAACACACTGTGTTCTATTCGATAAATACGATTTGAACAAATTAAAAGAGTCTTTGCATATTCCAAAAGACAATAATTTGTGGAGAAGTACATTATGATTAACCGTATCAAATGCTTTGCTAAGATCAACAAATAAAACACCAGTAAGTTTTCCACTGTCAATGTTTCGTAACCATTTTTCAATTATACTATGAAGTGCTGTTTCGCATGAATGTTTGGGTCTAAAACCAGACTGTTTTTTATGGTAGTTTTTCATTGATAAGATTGTTACTCGTGAGGTATTCATAAAAAGAATTATGAACATGTCTTTCTAAGACTTTGCTTATAATAGGTAAGACCGAGACTGGTCGATAAAAAAAATGTTCACCTGCTTTATACAACGGGGTAACCCTTGCACTTTTCCACTCATCAACAAATACACCCGACTTAATTGAACAATTCAAGATATGCGTTAAAATATCTCCTATGACATGAATACTTTGTTTTAGAATTTTAACAGAAATTTCGTCTAAACCTGTAGCTTTTGAGTTAGACATAGACAGTACTTCGTGAATAACAAATCTTTCACTAACAAAAGGTATGGAAAACGAACCTTCTGGCATTTGTTGAGGTACCTTGGGTAGAGAATTGTCAAATTTAGAAGCATATTTATGTCCAATATTAGAAAAAAAGTCATTGAATTTATTTGCGATTTCTCGGGGGCAAGTTATTGTTTCACCGTCGACTTCTACGTGTGTTGTTGTAGATTTGGTTTGTTTTGAGGGAAGAAATTCCTTTATACGGTCCCACATATTCTTGGGCTTAGCGTGTGCCTGTTCAATTACCTCTTTTACAAATTCGCATTTGGCTTCGTTGATCTGGATTCCAAGTCGTTTACGTGCCGCTTTGTAAGCATTCTAATCCGCATCGGATTTGGATTTGAGTGCTTTCCGATGTAGAAAGTCACGTATTCTCATTTCTGATAATATATTGTCATTAATCCACTTTTCTGAATCCGCTCTGATGCGCCTTTCTCTCATTGGGAAGTGTTTGTCAATGATTTGGAAAAAAGTGTCTTTAAATAAAGCCCACATATCATTAACATTTTCTAGGTTTCTGATAGAGTTCCAGTTCGTCGAAGCGAGGTCGGACATGAACGCATATTCGTCTGCATGTTTAATATCTCTGTATTTGATGTATACATGTTTTTTATTTTCTTTGATTGCTTTATTTCTAATTGTATATACTAAATGTAGTCACTAATACCGATAGGAATAACACCAGAATTTCAGTAGAGGAAGTGGTAGACAACAGAAACTTGAATTCAGGAAGTAGAATGTAATTTTTTTTTTTTTTTTTTACTTTTTTAAAAGTTTTCTGGAAGAGGAAACATATAACGTTAGTTGCAAAAACATAAAATGTAGTTCCGACTACAGTTAATTCGTGAACATTTATGATGTAGGCATAAAAAATCAACAAATCAGAAACGTCATTTTCACATCAATCTGATAAATATTAAATGATTCTAAAATAATAAAACACAATTTAAAAAAATATATAAGTTTTATTATTGACAATGGTTTTGCAATTTCAATTTCTTGACATATCTTGACAAAAAAAGTAATGAATATGTAATGTTGATTATAAAGCATTCGATTGTGTTACATAGTATGAATAGTAAGTGCTACAAGCACACGTCACGTGATCTGTAAAGGTTTGCTGGAATCCCCGTTAAGAAAATCCTTATGTACAGTATTTCAAAATATCATACGCCAAATGTTTGACAATGGAATTTAAAAACATTTATAAATAAGATCAAAGAGCGCTGATTCATTGGAAGACATCGAGTTCTCAAGATGCATGACTTTTACAAACCCAGAATACTTATCAAAACCAATGGTAAAGCGAAGAGCAAAGTGGCGGATCCAACTTTGGAGGCATTGTTTTGTTCGTTTGCTGTAACAAAAAAAGGATTATAATTAAGTTGATTTGTTAAACAATGATTACTTTTTGTATTTTTTCTTGAGTATATGATATATTATTATGTTTTCTCCATTAACATGTTTGTATAATCTAATTAAAATTGAAGACGTACCTCCTAAAGGCTGACCCGCTGTAAAAGAAAAATAAATCGACATGATTTAGTAGCAGTAAAACAAAGACTTTAATTACTAAATAAATCTCTCATTTGTGGTTTGAATCGACCTTACTTTTATTGCTATCAGAATCATAACGATCATTGTTATTATCATCAGCTATATCATTGCCATCATTATAACGGCCCATCTTATAATAATCCTACCTATCATTGTAAGTATCATCATCATTATCATTGTTATCATCATCTTTCTGTTGATTATTGCCATTATCAAAATCGTTATAATCAGAAATAGCGGAGTTGTTCTTGACCAATTTAGAAGTGCATTCTTAATTAGATTATACCTTCACAATATTCACAAGTAGCAGCACAATTAGTCTCCATGTATCTCCTTACAAAGCGGTTAGAACAAAGTCCACTATCCCTCAAAAAGGTACAGCTGTTTCCCATGTCTTCACATACTTTGGCAGCTTTAAACAAAATATACAGATTACCAATAATCTGAAATATTTTCTTGAAATACATGCAAATCGTATAATAAGATGCCCATTGGCCACAACGCTCACCTGAATCACTTCGAACATGCTGTTCATCAGATTTTTTTTTCATATATATTTCTATGCAAAACTTTTATTACCTACAGGCTACTGTGGATCAACCCTACCTCCAAGAGCAATGATTTACACAAAACTAAAAATATACTACATGAGGATGTTTCCATATAAATATGACTATTCATGGCCTTGTTGTTTTTGAAAAGACAATTATTAAAGATTTTTTTTCTTTAATACTTCTATGTAAAACTTTGATCCTCCATTGTGGTCCCTGGGGGCCATGATTTTTAAAGACTTTTTCGTATAAATTACTATGCAAAACTTTGATCTTCTATTGCGACCCCACCAAACCTCCTGGTTCATGATTTGAACAAATTTGTAAGTACACTACGTCGGGAAGCTTTCAAATAAGTTTCATTTCTAGCCAAGTGATTCTTGAGCTGAAGGTTTTTAAGACACCACCCTATTTTTGCCTTTTCTTCATTATCCCTCCTTTAAAGAGGACTGGTCCTTTATTTTTTACAAACTTGAATCCCTTTTACCCAAGAATGCTTTATGGTAAGTTTGGTTGTGATTGGTTCAGTGGTTCTTGAAAAGAAATCGAAAATGTGAAAAGTTAACAGACAGACAGACGACGGGTGATCAGAAAAGGTCTCTTGAACCTTCTGTTCAGATGTGCTTAAAAGTGAGAAATATATAAACCAATAAATTTTACAGACACATTTTAAACGGATATTTAAGCCTTTACTGCATCTTAATGATTTTACGATGAAACTCAATTTTGATTAATTGAAATTAAGTTTTACTTACCACCACATTTGTTGCAAGTTTGTTTGCAGTACATCATCATATAGCGACTTCTTGAACAATATCCAAACAGAGCCCAGAACCCACAAAACCGGTTCATGTCTGCACATTCTATTTTAGTGAAATATGATTAAATAATGTAGGTCATTAAAAATACCCTTTATATATATATATATATATATATATATATATATATATATATATATATATATATATATATATATATATATATATATATATATATATATATATATATATATATATATATATATATATATATATATATATATATATATATATATATATATATATATATATATATATATATATATTGGCAGAAGTAGGTTAGATCATTGATGTATAAATACTAGTACATGTAACAAATAAAGAGGAATAATGTCAGATGTGATATCCATTAGTCTTCTAATCAAAGACTTCTGTAAGCTTTCAAAATAGGCCTCAAGTTCTTATTATGTCAATATTTTGGGGTGATGGGGGTTTTTAAGTGTGTTTTATTCGTAGTTTAAAAAAATAAGATTGAGCAAGAAAAAAGAGCGTATTTCATGTAAAAAAAAAGTTGCCGAATGCGGAAAAAGTCTTATAACTTATAATTTAATACAGCCAATTCTCTTCGTATGCTTCATTAAAGCTGAATTTAATCAGGCAAAATAGTAACAAAGAGACACAGCTGACCTTCAATAGGTGGCGTTGTTGTAGTTGTCACTACGCTGTTAGAGGTGGTTGTAAGTCCAGATGTAGACGTCGCTACTGGCGTACCCTGGCAATTCTGGACCGGGTTGTTAGCATCTCCAGTGGGACACTTACACTGACAATCTTTTCCAACAAATCCCTCTCCTGGACAGTTCTGAGCAGGACAGGAAGCTGGAAGATATATTTAATTGATATACGTACATGCAATCAAATGCAATTTAATTTACGATTTATCATATAGGTGCATTTCCCCACAGAAGTCAATGTCAAGATAAGTGCCCATCTTTTATTCCTGATTTTTTTTTTTTTTAAATCAAAGCTTTCAGAGTGAAAAAGGTACACGCATTTTAAATAAAAGGAATATGTAGTATCATCAATTATACATTCTATTGTGGAATCATTTAAGCTCGAGGTGACCAGTTTTTGTGGTTTGTTCAAAGCTTTATACACTGTAGAAAAGCTGATTTTTATGTGAACAAAAATGATTAAATGAAATACTAATAATTAACCGCAAAAGAGCAACAATAAGTTTGATAATCGCCAGGTAGTCGTAACACTAAGTATTCACAGCATTTCGTAACTTTATTGGGTAAACAAAATTTATAAATTTCGATTTTTAACTGATGCAAATTATAGCATATTTAGCTTTAGAATTCATAGAGAGTGTATTGCGAAGGCGAATATCTTGCTATAGAAGACAAACCTATACTTCAATATTCGTAGAAGGTTGTAAATATTTGGGTAAGGAGTACCCAACTTCACGAAATATAATGATTCTTCTTCGAAATAAATACAATCAATGAATTATTACTTCATCTTTCATCCACATCAGTCTAATTATTTAGCAGAAACCCCATGTGAATAATTTCTAAAGCATTATTTCCAAGAGCGAAATAAAATCTTACCAGCACAGTTATACATTAAATTTGCGAGTTTAATGTCACTGAAACTGAGTCCCGGTGCATTCCCGATAATGTTTTGAAAGGATTGGTCGATAGTTCTGACTGTGATGCCATTGTTGGTTGAAAAAGCCTGAAAATGACATTTTTAGAAGATTCAATCGTCATGTTAGAATTTTTAAAAAATTTAAAATCAACATTTTTCAAACGTCAGTTGCATCAAAATTTATGACTTTTCAATACTTTGTACAACCATTCGTCACGATAAATAAAAAACTAGGCTTTTTGATATCATAGACAACTCCTTCTTTAAAAGAAAAGGAACTCGGAAATTTTCATATCTTATGACTGGTCATCAAAATTACTTTGTAAAGATCACTACTGATTCTACAGTACACTAAAGTTGACATTAAAAGGATGCTGGAGTTCCTCATTGACAATATCTATGTAGACTTTGGAGACAGGGTCTTCCAACAAACTGTTGGAATTTCGATAGGCTCCTTAATTAGCCGACTTGTTCTCATATCCCTATGATGTAGAATTTATTTAAAAAGGAGAAAATACTGATGTGGCCTTCAACTCAACATTCAGATATATCGACGACGTTTTATCAATATAACGATAGTTACATGTACTTCCATGCATATGTTGACTCAACATGTCCCAGTGAACTCGAAATAAAAGACACCTTAGAGTCTGTCACATTTGTTTCATATTTGGATGTTTTACTGACTATAGACGATAAGGACCAACTAACAGCTAAATTGTTGACAAGCGTGGTGACTTCAGCTTTCCACCGTCAACTCTCCTTATTTATGTACTAATATCCTGCTATCACCTACATATGGTGTTTATATATTCGATACTCAAGAGCATGCTTGGAGTACGATCAATTTTTGACCCGAGAACCGATAAATAAGTTAATGTTACAGAGATTTCAACAACCTACTTTGAAGTCAGCATTTCGTAAATCCTATGATCGTTATAATGACCTTGTTAGCAAATACAACCTGTCATTGGGTCGTATTTTGACTGACATATTTCATACCAATTGTTAGGATTTCTTTTATACTAAATTTGACTACCGAATATTCAGTTTACCTGATCAATCCATAGGACTCACGGCGGGTGACCGGTCAACAGGGGATGCTTGTAATCCTCCCAAGCACCTGATCTGGAATTTTTTGGGGTGTTTTGCGTCCCCTTCACAGATTTGAATTGTTTGTAGGTTTTTTGAGATCGATCACTGTTCGTTATCTTCACCTTTTTCATTGTAATAGGACTGGAGGAAATACAACCATGTTTCAAACCCAGCCCGCCCACCCCCGGAAACTCTTAACAGCCTGGCCCCCTGAACTCCCGATGGATGTTCTACCACCTGCCAATGTTAGGAATCTGGCTTAGGCAAATGAATCTGCCTGACCATCATACACTGCGTAAATAAATAGCAGGTAAGTAAACCAATAATCAAAGGGAGTTCATTTTTTAATGTACATTGTTGAGAGATTTCATCACTCGTATTACTTATTGATAGATTTAATTACGTGATAAAAATCCATTAAAACCCCGAAAAATAAATCTCAGCAGCACGTTTCAAGCGAAATTCAAACTTACAAAAAAAGTGACTTAATGAAAGCAATGCGCCTTCTATATTTGTTGTCCGTTAATTAAACCCCTAAATATAACAGGAGTCTCGTGTCCTTATTTCTAGGTGCTGATCTTAATTTACAGATAATGTAATTATTACAAAGAAATAGAAAGACTACAGAAAGGAACATACTCGGGCTCCATAATGCATCACACTGAGGTAGTCGTAAGGTACCCCAAAAGTGTTGACCTGAGAAGTGGGCTGTTTTTCAAAGTTGAAAAGTAGAGCGGAAGCTATGTTTGCTTCCTGTATTTCAACAAATCCATCCCGATCTGGTCTACTCTGCTCGTGCCAGTAGCCAACTGCATGTCCTATCTCGTGCGTAATAATTCGGCTCTGAAATATGGTCAATATGACATGTATTTGTAACTTCCGGGTTTTTAAGATATAATATTTTGTATTATCCTTTATCTGAATTTGATACTCTAATAAAAGATTCCTTTCCTTTCTCTCGTTAGGTGATAAATTACTGCGTTAGTGTTTTGAGACTTACAATTCTGCATCCATTTGCAAGGCTGATAGGTTGAATATTTCCTGTTCTCCCAATGAAAGACGAACATCTAATCAAGACAAAACAAAACGTCAAAACAAGAACTCTTCGGGTTACTCCAGAATGAAAATATGCTGTCTGTTCCATTATTAAGACTGATAGTATTAATGTAGGAATTTAATTTAGAACTGTTTCTGCATAAAAGGATGTCTAAAATTATATATCGTGTATATGTAGATCATCGCTCCCTATATACATGTATTTGTTAACACAGGACACGGATTTCAGTAAATCCAATGGCTTAAAAGACACAGGGCGATACAGGTAATTACTGTGTGAGGTCACTGAAGAAAACGTGATAAATTTTTCTCATCTTTAAAAATTAAAATTTTTATGTTGAAACAGTTTTGATGTTTGTGGCACAGGGAAATTTTTTGTCGATATCCTTCCGCGACATTAAAATTCGGACATTTATCAAGTTCTCTGTCCCTTTTTCAGTCTGATGATACAAAAAATGACAAATTCGATGATAGATGTTATACATTATTTACTACATAGCCTCTCAGATGCAAAACACTGTAAAATTTTTCCAAGCCAAACTGTTTGATAACTCTGGCTCTGACTTTTTGCAGAATTTTTTTATAAAGTGAAATTTGAAAAGCCATACTACAAACGAAATGCATACATCTATGACACAAAATGACACCAGTGCACTAGCCATGCTGTCATCGTTGTCCACTAGACTACTAAACCGGGAACCATTGGATCATGTCCGGGTTTGGGAGCGATTACGGAGGGTGACTGGGCATATTAAGGGTGTGGTATTTATATAATTTACTATTCATTTTGCTAGAATGCATAGATTTAATGTCATGACAGAGCATAGTGAGAGGACGCGTCTACGCAACTTTTCCGACAAGCTTTTTCCTGATTGTTTGATACATCCAAAAAGTATATACAATCAAACAGACGGCTTTTGAATATAAAGAAATTCAAAAATGAAATTTCAGACGAAGCTACAAAATTGATAAATTGTAAACATATAGGACATGTTCATATTATCCTCCAGAACATTTGCTACAAATGCAAAACAACCCCCCCCCCCCCAAAAAAAAAAAAACGATAGAATTAAAATTTGTTATATAAAATCCTTTCTCGCGTCGGGAAGTTATGAAAGAAACTTTCTGTAAGCCTTCTTACCCATCGCCATTTTGAAACCTAATAGCAGCTGTTTGTGAAGTTCTCAGAGGGAAGGTCAGGCACGTCTGTGTCCTCCATTCGTCGAGGGCAGCGTTTATCTGGGCCAGGGCGGCAGAGCCTGAAAACATTAAATGTACAACATATGAAATACTAAATGTTCAAATGAATAAATGAACTATGATACATCAATTAATCTGGGTCATGGCGTGAGAGTCTGAATGATATAGTATGATATATATGATATAATGATATGAAATATAGAATAAATTGGAAGTTTCTTTTGAGGAAACAAAATTTACATTTTCATCTAGTAGACTTTTATTTTATTTGTATATAGATATGTCGGGTGTAACTCACTGAATGTACTAGGTGCTATCTCGTATGGAATGATGTTGTTGGGCCACCTCCGTCTTTCGTCACGAATGGCCTTCCTTCTTTTCCTCTTACCGTTTTTTTCTTCCATTCTGTTCACAAGGGATGAAAAGTTTTACAATTGTGAACAAATAAAGCATGACGGTAAAAAATACAAAAACTTCTTTGTTGTATGTGTACGTTGATTTGTTTTTGTTTGTTTGTTTGTTTTGTTTGTGTTTATTTTGATTAGAATCAGTTTGTCTTGATCAGTTTAAATGTACATGTAGAGCGAAAAGATAAAGGGCATAGAAACGGGGGAGTTTTCTAGGTAAATTAATTGTTTATTACAACTTAATGAATATAAACTTATTCCATTGTCTCTAAAGACGATTCTTAGTTCAGATTTCATTTAATGAAAGGGCTAGTATATAAAATACAAATCTAAATTCTTTATCAGGGACATTTTTACAGGGGAAGGAGAAGTTAATTTTGTATTCAAGTGTCATGTTGTAAATTTTGTATTTGCTGCCACCCGGTAAATTCAAAATTTACAACATGACACTAGAAGATCGTTGAAGCATCTTATCTGTTAATTTTCAATCTGTTAATCTGTTAATTTAAAAATAGTTAAGTTATGTCTTCACCTTTCTTTCTCTTCTGCGAGGAAATCGTCCAGAGTCATTAATATGTCCAATTCTTTCCTGACTATTCTAGAAGACTCGCTGGACACCAAGTCATATGCCATACCTTTTAAAAACAAAATTCAATGATAATAGTAGTTTGACGATTAACAACAGGTTAGACACAGGTAAAAAAGATATCCTGATCTGATACCCATTGTTTTCTTTACAGTAAAACAGTGATTAGCAGTTATACCTCACTAGTTTTGTAATCATAATCAGCAATGAGGACATATTGTATGCTCTGATTGTTCAAAAAAGAGTTTATGTCAAGTCTGAGATAATGCTTTCTTTTCGATGCTGAAATAAATTCTTTCTTCATAATTTATAAATTACTCACTGTTGTTATTAGCATTCTTTATAGCGGTATCTATGGACATGCTTTCCGTCTGTTTAAATAAAATAAATTAAATATAAATAAAACAAATAATGAATTAATTGATTATCACTCTTCAATTTAAATTGATTTTGCATGTAATTCTTTCCTTTTTAATTTGCACCAACTTTTCCAGATCTAACGAATAATTTTACCTTAAAGACAAGAGCAAAAATCAAAGCACATCCGAAAATCTTCATTTTGGCTAATAGTGGTCTCTACCTCGTATCACTGCAAATTTTATCCGTCGATAGATAATTACATTAATTTATATGATACAAACTGTGTAATGCTGATGTGTCAGATCCTATTCTGTTACATGTGTCCGACAAAGTCTCCCCAAAATACGCATTTTACACAAACGTAATAATGTACATGTAAGGTATCTTACTAACTATATATGGTCACAATGAAAAAAAAAGAGAGAAAGCGGCGTTCATTTCTTATTAACAAATATTGTATTTTAAAGTTAGATCGTAAAAACTTATTTTCTAGCATATTGAACCATGGCGATTTACCGTTAGTATGTTTTAGCAGGAAATACAGAAATTTGTTAGCCCCTTAACAACGGTTTATGTCCACTTAAGGCAATGACCCCATAAAGGATGTATTATATATTAAAATGACCGTGTAAATAATCGGACGTCACAAGGCGTATTACGACAGGGATGATGAGGCTTTGATGCATAGAAAAACTCGGATCTCATTCACATACATTCGGTACAAGTTATTAAACCATTATTCCGATAGTGACTTTGTTTCCTTTTATTTCACTAAACGAAACGATTTGCGTTTCCATGTGGTTTTGCTTTGAAGTGGTTCTTCGATCATTTGTTTCCATTTCTAGCAAAAAAAAAAAAAAAAAAAAAAAAAAAAAAAAAAAAAAAAAAAAAAAACATTAAATCTTTAGAATATTTCAGCATCTTATTCATTAATTACTAGTGATTTACAAGTAGAAAATGAATACATCAAAGCCAACCCCAGGACTGTACCTTCTCGATTGGACTATCAATGTTAAAAATCCTCTAGATACTAATAAAAAAGTAAACTTGACGGGTACAGAGGATATCCAAAGGTGTAATGTATTTTATTATGTGAAAAACTTTGGAAACTAAAAGCTTAATCCATGACTCATGAATTTCAAATTTTGGTAAAAGATTGAGCATTCAATGTAATTATACAACCAGTTTGCTCTCTACGTGTCCCTTAAAAAGGCGATTTATAAAGTTGTAATTTATTTCCAATAAATGATCAACTTAACCCCACTCTAGGACCTGTATCATCGATCCAGAGGCCATGATTTTCAAATTTTGGTAAAGGGTCATGGCTTATTGTAATCTTGTAAATATTTCTTAGCATGAATATAAGTCTTTTCATCATATAACTTGAATCTTAAAAATATGTGTTGCACTCCTGACGAGATAAATATAGATCTGAAACACAGACCCTGTAATTGATAAAACTATTTAGTAAAATGTTCTTTGTGTCTTAATTTTCAAAAATAAAAATCAAAGAATCATATACTGATTAAAGTTTTTTCATGATGGGGAGCAAAAAATCAAATGTTGCACTCCTGACATTTTTGGATATGCACAGATACTTGACTCTCATTAATGCTGCTTGTGATTTATATAACATTTTTAAGTTTTAAATTGTATAACAGTTAATGTTTTACACTTTGAAAATTCTTTTATGAATTAATTGCCTTTCAAATTTTTAAAATTGATTTTTTTTTGGCAACACTACATTTTTTCTGTTGCACTCCTGACATGGTATAACATTTTTTTTCAACATCAGCCATGATCATGACCAAAACTTGGTCATACAAAAGATGCTACAGTTTAAATTTAAGCTCAATACTTTGAATATTATCAAGAAAGTCTGTATTTCCAACATAAACCGTTATTATTTATTTAACAGATCTTCAAAAAATTTGAATTTTCAAATTGTCACAAAAAGGTGTTGCACTCCTGACATTTTTAGCATCATTTTGGGGCATAAATTGTATCGAGATAGCATGTTTTCAGACACTCATCTAAAGACATATGCTGAGACAAAAAATTATTCCCATTGCCTGTATTTGTAGTGCAGGTTGATAAAGATATATTTGTTTTTTTTTTAAATTCATCCTGATCCTGTCTGTTAAGTTGTCAGATGTAGTAACTTAGGTGTTTACTTAAACAATAAAATGTTTCATTGTTTTTAATGCAGGAATAACGGTCGCGACATTGCAGAAAAAGAACTTGCTAAACGCTTATGTAATTTTGTCTATAATGGGTGCAACCGTTATTTCCTGCATGAACAAGTAAAGAAAGACATTTTATTCTTTATATTTATATCTGTATTAATTATTCGTATAGAGTTGATGAAAGTAAAATGTTGTATTATTGGTCTGTAAATTACCTTGATGGAAGACCCTACTTTTCAAGAAATCTTTCAGAGAGATGGCCTTAAAAAACCATATAAAAAACTAACTTGATCATTGTTAATGCAGTGATAACAGGAAACGGTTCTCATAAGAAATATATGGGAAATTATTTAGTGAATGTAAATATTATTTTTATTATTGTCTTTTTTTTACTTGTGCGGTTGTTCTGGTTAAACGCAGATGAATGCTTCATTTTCTCGAGTCTGTCTGATGGATGAAATTTAATGAGAACTAAACGACTGAAATCTTGAGTGAAGTTTTTAATGATTTTAAAAGATACAAAATGAAAATAAATATTCAAACAATATGAACAAAAAACCTCAAACAATTCTAGTTAAAGATATAAAACAATTCTTCATTTATTCAGTGCATATAACAATCAAAATAAGCAAAGAAAGTTGTTAAATGCTGCTTGCATTAATATTAGGTTTTTTTTTTAATTTAAACGAAAAATATAAATTAACTTATGATTATATGTATATGAAGCAAATAAAATTTTAACACACCTATGACATCCAACAATAAAATCTATGTAACTAATGCATTCAAACAGCGTTATTTTTTCTTATATTTTTTTCATTATAATAACACACTCCAAACGATGAAGACAGGGATCAAGATAAGCATGGTGGTGGATCCAAGGTTTGATGCTTTGCTTCCTAAAATATATATATAATTTCAAGTTTTAGTTCACAGCATCTTGTAAAGTTTAATAATCAAAGTCTTAATGTTCTTGCGGAAGTTCATAAACTTTTCTTGTAAAGCTTTGAACCACACTAGAGTGCCCCTTTTTAAAGTCCCAGAGTCAATGCTTCGAATAAATTTAAACCCATATGAATATTCCGATGTAAACGGTTGACACATATTGTGTCCCCACCCGTTCGACTCTCTGCTGGGATCCAACACTATCCCTTGGCACCATGTGTTGAACAAATTTTAATCTAGATTTCTTCAAATGCTTCCATTTTAGTATGATTAACTGTGGCTGTCATGTTCTAGAGAAGATTTTTAAAAAGATTTTTTTTTAATCGATATTCTTTTATTAAACCGTTATCCCCTATTGTATCCCCATCCTAGGGTAGGGATCACGATTTTAATAAATTTGAATCTAAACTATATGAGGGTGCTTACTGACCAATGTCTTCTAAAATTCCATGCCAATTTAGCCACCCCACCCCCTTTTAGTTTTAGCCATAGCCCCTGTAATCTATGCTTCCTTGTGATTATGACGTATTGCAACCATACTGTTCTTTTGAAGATTTTTCCAAATGTATGATTTAATGTTAACCCTTAACTCTCTGTTACTGCCCTAAATGAAATATATGGAGATAACGAACAGTATTCAAGCTCAAAAGTCCATTAAACATTACAAAATAGGTGCAGAGCAAACACGGACCTCCAAAACATCAGAGATGGGATCAGGTGCCATGGAGGAGTGAGCATCCCCTGCCGACCGGTCACACCTGCCGTGTGCTCCTTGTCATGATCAGGAATAACGGAAAAATCCGTCAATAATTCAGTGTGTAAATAATTGTCTAACAATTAGTATGAAAAACGTCAGTCAGCATTTGACTCAATGATAAATTGTATTTGCTGACAAGGTCATTGTATTGACCATAGAACTTTCGAAATGAAGACTTTAAATGAGACTGCTGATATTCTTGTTTCATCAACTTGTTTGTCAATAATTTACCTCGTTTTAGAAATTGTACATACGTAGAGCATGCTCTTGCGTATCGAATCAACTGAGTGATATAAACCTCGTATGCAGGTGATGAAGGTATATTGCTGCATAAGTAATAAAAGTGGACGATTGAAAAGTTAAAGTCATCACGTTTATCATAAAGCTTGGTTGTTAGATTACCATTAACGTCTCTTTCAAGTAAGATATCCAAATATGAAACAGATGTGTCAGACTCTGTAGTATCTTTTATCTCAAGCTCACCGGGATATATCGTATCGACATAAGAATGGAAATAACCATTGTTAATTGACAATACGTCGTCGATATATCTAAAGTCGAGTTGAAGGCCACAGCAAGTGTTTTCTTCTTTTCACGTATAAGATTTTGGACAAATTCTGCTTCATATGAATAAAAATAATTCGTAAGGAACATGATGTAATCTTTGAATCTTTATTACATGGACTTGATTCCATATCAATATTGTAATCCTACCCTTACTGGGATTTTTTAAATCTTCATGTGTAATCTCAAATGTCAATCATGTCACCTAAATTTACCCCGCCCTTGCCCAGGGGGATGATTATTTTCATATTCATTGAATATACTGATGTATATATTCTCAATTAGGAATACTTTTCGTAAATTTTCTGGCCTAATTGTTCTTGTCTAGAAGAATTTCAAATGACCCAGCCTTACTTTCACTATTTTTGATTATCTCTTCTTGAAATGGGGCGTTTTTCTTTACTCCTCACTTAAATATTTATAGCAATGGAGAAACTTCAGGAGTACTGTACAACAGTATATTCAGAAGTGGTGTAAACCAGATGTGGATACCTAAAAACTCCTTTTAGAAACTTTTAGAAAATTTGAAATCACAAAATTTTAACAAAATCAATAACATCAAAACGTACGAATTTTCAACACTTTATACAACCATTCCCCACGATACATTAAAGTTTTTCAATCGTCAACTTGCCTTATTTATGTAGCAATATACCCTTGTCACTTGCCTATGGGGTTTTGTCTTTCAGTTGATTCGATACGCAAGAGCATGCTCTACGTACGATCAATTTTTAAAACAAGGCAAGCCACTGACAAACAAGTTGATGAAACAAGGATATTATTTGTTTGTTTGTTGTTTAACGTCCCTCTCGAGAATTTTTCACTCATATGGAGACGCCACCACTTGCCGGTGGAGGGCTGCAAATTTTGACCTATACTGGGCACTCAGGGCCATTGGGCAATGAGGGATCTTTTTCGTGCAAGCACCTACTGCGACACAGGACCTCGGTTTATACGGTCTCATCCGAAGGACCGGCCTCCACGTCCCGCAGTGGATTTGAACCCGCGACGTAAGGAGTAACTCCTTACATCGCGACTCTAGAGCAAACGCTCAAACCACTGCGCCACGAGGGCGACAAACAAGGATATTAACAGTCTCATTTGAAGTCATCATTTCGTATGTTTTCAGGTCGATACAATCACCATGTCAGACAAGAGGCCCCAGGGCCTTAACGGTCACCTGAGTACAATACAACAATTTAGAGGATCCATACACTGATAAATGAAGCTTTGTTGCCCAAAAGCAAGAAAAATAGTATGATGAGCATCAACAAAGTAATTTGTATAGAATCTATCTGTCCCCCATTTATCACTATTACCATGCAGACTATTAACAAAATGTCTATTTTTAACCCCATATTATGACTTCTCACATTGGTCTCTCTTGGCGTTTGAAGAACATTTAAAAAATAAGTTATTTTTGCCTCACTTTTATTCATCTATTATTTCCAAGTCTACCTGATCATTAAAACTAGGAAAGTACTTTTTGCATTATACAATAATTATTCTTGCATAATTCTCTTATTCTATTAACCTTTCAAATGCATTATTTACAGTGATTAATTATCAAAGGTGAATGGCAAAGGGGAATAACTTTGCTTAGCAGAATACAAGTTCATAGAGCCCTGACCAGGACCAGAATACTTGACTTAATAATCCAGGTGTTCAAAATTCTGGTAAAAATATCCTTGCATATTAAAACTTTTACTCTGTTTGCCTCGAATATGCCCAGAAGAATACAAGATTTTCAAAGAAATGCATGTTCACTATGTTATTAAATAAATAAAGCCCCCCTCCCCCTTTACACCAGAAAATCTTACCCAGGGGCCATGAACTAATAATTCTGGAAGAAGCATTTTGCTCGTCATAACTATACACTTGTTTCTTTGCTTTATTACCAGTAGTAGAAAAAATATTTTGAAAGAAATTATGCATTTTCACTATAAAATCAAAAGAGCCCCCCCCCCCCCTCAGAAGAACCCCTGACCCAGGGGCCATGAATTGCACAATTTTGGAAGAGGCATTCTTCCTTATCATAACCATGCTCTTCCTTTGTTTGAACAATACCAAGGAGCAGAGAAGAAGATTTCGAAAGAATTTATGCATTTTCCTTATATATCAATAGAGCCCCGACCTAACACCAGAACCCTTCATCCAGGGGCCACAAAATTCACAATTTCTGAGGAGGCATTCTTGCTCATCATAACTATGTACTTAGTTTATTTAATATCCAGGAGAGAGAAGATTTTCAAAGAAATAATGCATTTTCACTATATATACCAATTGAGCCCCACCCTGACACCAGAACCCTTGACCCAGGGGCCATGAAATTCACAATTTTTGAAGAGGCAACCATGCTCATCATAACTATGCACTAAGTTAGTTTATTTAATACCCAGGAGTAGAGAAGATTTTCAAAGAATTAATGCAAATAATCAAGAGAGCCCCCCCCCCCCAGCACCTGAACTCCTGACCCAGGGGCCATGAAATTCACAATTTCTGAAAAGGCAGCCATGCTCATCATATCTATGTTCTTAGTTAGTTTATTTCATACCCAGGAGTAGAGAAGATTTTCAAAGAATTAATGCAAATAATCAATAGAGCCCCCCCCCCCCCAACACCTGAACCCCTGACCCAGGGGCCATGAAATTCACAATTTCTGAAAAGGCAGCCATGCTCATCATATCTATGTTCTTAGTTAGTTTATTTAATATCCAGGAGCAGAGAAGAAGATTTTCAAAGAATTAATGCATTTTCACTATATAGTCAAAAGAGCCAACCCCTCCCCCCCCCCCTTACACCAGAACCCCTGATCCTGGGGCCATGAAATTCACAATTTCGGAAGAGGCACTCTTGCTCATTATAACTATGTACTTAGTTACTTTATTTAATACCAAGGAGCAGAGAAGAAGATTTTCAAAGAATTAATGCATTTTCACTATATAGTCAATAGAGCCACCCCCCCCCCCAACACCAGAACCCCTGACCCTGGGGTCATGAAATTCACAATTTTGGAAGAGGCACTCTTGCTCATCATAACTATGTACTTTGTTACTTTATTTAATACCCAGAAGCAGAGAAGAAGATTTTAAAAGAATTAATGCATTTTCACTATATAATCAATATAGCCCCGCCCTAACACCAGAACCCCTGACCCCGGAGCCATGAAATTCACAATTTTAGAAGAGGCATTCTTGCTCTTTATAACTATGTACTTAGTTAGTTTATTTGATACCCAGGAGCAGAGAAGAAAATTTTCAAAGAAATAATGCACTTTCACTATGTGATCTATATAGCCCCACCCTAGCACCAGAACCCCTGACCTGGGGCCAAGAATTTCACAATTTTGGTAGAGGGCTCAATGCTTATTACAATGATGCCAACAGTTTGACTGCTTGATGTCCAGGAATAAAGAAGAAGATTTTTAAAGATTGCATTAATTTTGGTGGTTTTAGCCCCACCCCTCAGGCCCCAGGGGGGCAGGGACCATGAAATTCACAATTTTTGTTCCCCTTCACCCATAGATGCTATATGCTAAATTTTATTGAAATTGGTTGAGCGGTTTTAGAGAAGAAGCTGAAAATGTTCAAAAGTTTACGACCGACGAACGACGTACGACGTACGACGACGGACAAAAACGGATAGCAATAGGTCACCTGAGTTTACTCAGGTGACCTAAAAATACAACCTATCAATAAGTCAAATGCTGACTGACGTTTTTCATGCTAATTGTTAGGCCATTATTTGCACACTGAAACTGTCTACGGATTTTTCCGTTTTTCCCGATCGTGACAAGGAGCACACGGCGGGTGTGACCGGTCGGCAGGAGATGCTTACTCCTTCATGGCACCTGATCCCATCTCTGATGTTTTGGAGGTCTGTGTTTGCTCTGCTCCCGATTTGTATTGTTTGAATGGACTTTGAGCTTGAATACTGTTCGTTATCATCCATATCCATATTTCATCATTTGAAGGAATATATTTTACCCAATGGCTATTTGAAAAGTCGACAAACGACAGTGGGACGACGGACAATCTTCGATCATAGAACTCACTTGAACCTTTGACTCAAGTAACCTGTTGTACTAAGTTAATTTCATTTATTTTCAAATTCATCTCTCGAGGAAAAGCCTAATTTTTTCTAGAAATTAAAAAAAAAATAAACTTTTTTTTTTATTTTGCATAAAATATATCTTACTTAGTGGGGTTCCATCTGCGCTTAGCAACTCTCCCGCTGCAAGGAAAAGCAGAAGTATATCACAAAGCAGAATAATTTTGAAATATTATAAAAACTTAAGAGCTCTCTATACACTGCACACTAAAGAGTTCTGATTTTTGTGGTATTTTTATGCAGATAAAGTTATCTGCCCTTTGATTAAGAATAAAATAAATTAAATGTACAGTTTATTACTTTATTTGTGATCAAATCAAGCATTTATAATATTTTAATAGGCCAAGATGAATAGATTGAACACTTCATCTGCAGATATTTTGCCGACTTAAGTAAACAACAATGATTTATGTTCATTAGTACTTCATTGTCTTTGAACATTTTTCCTGGGGGTAAATGCAAGGTACCCTATGTTTAAACCTGATAGAAAAGCTCAATGTTTAAACCTTAACACACTATAATTTTCTCAGTGTCCCAAAAATATTTTCCTCTGGTGTATAGAGGGTCCTTAAGATAATATTGTGCAAAAACATAGACTGGCAAAGGTTAGTTTTTCTTGTCCATTTTTGCCTGTTGACATACCCCTACAGAAGTTACAAGTGGCGGCACAGTTAGATTCCATATAACTCCTCACGAACTGGAGAGTACAAAAGCCTCGGTCTCTCAGCAGACCACATGACTGGCCCATGTCTTCACATCGCTTTTGAGCTGAAAGATTTTATAAAAATTGCTTCATGACAAGGCGATTTCTTTCAGAAAAATAGAACCTTTATTTTAAGCCTTCTTAGATGATAAAGTTAATATTCATTATTTTTCTAAAATAAAAATACGGATTTATTTCAGACCCCCATCCCCACTATACCATCCCCCCTCAAAATTGGTAACATAAAAATAGACATTTCCCCTTATTTCAACTAGGATGGGTTTAACTAGAAGCATCACAATGTAAGCATAATAATATAAAAATATCCGACAATCAATTTTCTTTCCAACCTTGGCGGAGGCTTGTGACCACCTTTTCTTAATGAAGAGAGGGAGGGGTAGCGGAGTAGCTGTGCCTCCCATTTTGTGCCAAACACATAACCAGTTTTACTAGATCAGTTTCTGTGCACAAATTCATTTTGCCTGATCTTTCCTTCCATTACACTCCCCAATACAATGTTTTATGTATTTTCATGACTTTGTTTTTGCTGATATATTTGTCAGCTGGTTGTGCCAATGATACATTACCATTGCAGAGGTTACATGCTGCTTTACAATACATCATCATATACCGGCTCCTACTACAGTAACCCTGTCCCGCCCAGTAGTCACAGTAACGATTCATATCCTCACACGCTCCTAAAGGACATAAAAACGAATAAAATCAACCGCAGCACAGAAAACACAGTCCAGGTAATGTCCGTCACTAATTTAAAATTTCAACTGTAACTGAGTCTAAGACCATATTAGTTATTGCGAAACAGATCATATAAGACATTCAAACCAGGTTTTTTTTAAGTAAATTGTCAATGAAAACCAAGATTATTATTTGAAGCAACATTAACAGATATAAGCTAAGGGAAGAGGGGTTTACCTTCCGTTGGGGTGGTGGTTCTGATTGTTGAAGATGAAACAGATGTGGTGGTCACTAAGGTGGTACCAGTACAGTTCTGGACTGGGTTGTTTGGGTTGTTAGTGGGACATTTACAAGAACAGTCTTTGCCGACAAAACCTTCTCCCGGGCAACTCTGAGCAGGACAGTTCTCTGAAGAGAGTAATTCAGTTTTTATAAATCAGAAATTAAGAAGACAATTTCAAGTTGGATATTCTGGTTGACAAGGAGTCGTACCTGCACAGTTATACATTATATTGGCAAGCTTGATGTCATTATAGCTGAGTCCGGGGGCTCTACCAATGATATTTTGAAATCGGGAATCAATTGTCTGTACTGTAATTTGACCATTAGTTGAAAAATCCTGAAATAATCAAAAAATGCATTATAATAAACATGCTTATACACACATGGATAATGCACGCCAAATTACAAGTTTTCCATTTGAAATGGCAACTCAGCACTTGTCTCTTTCTCTTAAAAGAAATCATTCATTTAATTCCACGGAGATTTTGCATGAATAGTAATCCTCACCCTGGCTCCGTAATGCATCACACTTCTGTAATCGTAAGGTACATCAAAATTATTCACTCGACTTGTTGGGAGCTTATTAAAGTTGAAGAGAACCGGCTGTGGTATATTTTCAGTGCGAATCCGGACAAACCCGTCTCTGTCCGGCCTTGACTGTTCGTGTTGGAATCCAACAGCGTGTCCCATTTCGTGGACCACAATTCTCCTCTGAAACATTGAAGGATATTAGTTTACAGCTATTTCGCCTTCATCTTCGTTCTAACTACAGTAGTAAACTGCAGTAGTTTACGTAGATAATATAACTGTAGTAAACTGCAGTAGTTTACGTAGATATATTGAATCTCTGTAAGAATATTTGTATGGAAAGATTATCTCTAGTTATAAAAAAAGATGCCAACGTTGTTCTTTTAGTTTTCTAATGATGATTTATCAGTCACTTATTATTAATTTATTTTAATTATACATACGTATTTAACCTTTATAACATTTTATCCAGCTATAAGTTAAGGCAACTATATTTCGCGTCAATTTGATTCTTTTCATTTGTAAAAAAAAAAAATCATTCATACTGGATGTCAGAAGGTGTATATTAAGAAAAATTATTGGAAAGAGGATTACCTCTTTGTTAAGTGTAAAAAGCACTTACTATACGGCATCCCCTGGCCAAGCTGATCGGCTGAACACGGCCTATTGTCCCCACAAAAGACGAGCATCTAGTGTAAGACAAATAGAAACTTGTTGTAAACACTTTATCTATCTAAAAATTATTTTAAAATGTACAATTAATTCTTTTACTTGTACATCTACAACAATAACATAATTTGATGCACATTAAACTGAACACACCCCTGGCCATTTTCAAATCTCACGGCACTGGACTCCCCACGCCTCTCTCTGAACACGACACACGTTTCTCTGTTCCAATCCTCTATTGCCAGGTTAATCTGATTCCGTTCTGTCTGAGCTTTAATTAGAAGTGAATTGCAAAACTCACTTATCGTTCGATGATTTACATTGTATTTAATTTATTAACTCTGCTTCAAAAAAGAAGTTAAAAATACATATATATTTTTTAATATATTTGTATCTAGATTCTCTTAGAAACAGTGTTAAGCATATTCAAATTCATTTTCATTTTGAAATAAACACAGAGCTTTGTGAAGTACCATGTTTTAAAGGCTCTAATGATTTCAGTATAACTCACAAAAAGTGTTTGGTGCGATTTCATAGGGAACTATTTTTCCTGGCCATCTGCTTTGTTGGGATCGGATCGCTTTCCTCTTCTTTCTCCTACCCATTTTTTCTTCTGCCATTCTACGAAATTGTAAATTTAATGAAATAGAAAATATATCTTCTGTGAGAATAGTGTACATTTTTCCTTTTAATTTACCTGTAGATGCTTTAACAATTAGCTCACTGAGTTTTCCTGTATAAATAACTTAGTATTTACTTTATCTGTCAATTTCACACAAACACTACAGAGTTACAGTTTTGGTGATATGCTGAGGTAGTGGTTGGTGATATGTTTAAGTATTATTATATAATTATTTACTAGGTTCGAACCAAACTGTTTGTCTGAGACCGTTAGGCCGAGGGCAACAATTTGGTTCGAGGGGTCAGCAAAACGCACTTTGCCGAAGAACACAGTCAATAAATGTTGTTTTTTAAAAATACTTTTTCTTTTTTTTTTTTTTTTGATATATCTTGTGCTGGCCTCCAAGATGCACAAACGGTCCACTCTGCAGGCTTACATCAATTTTTTTTTTACCACTTAGTAAAACACTGGAAATGCTCGACTTTCTAAAAGAAATCACTTATATAGAAAACAATTTTTAAAGGTACAACAATTAGTTATGTGTTGAGGCGCTGTATGGTGATTTGTATAGGTAGTATTTAGGGATATCTTGAGGTACTGGTTAGTGATATGCTGAGGTAGTATTTTATGATAGCTGAGGCAGTTGGTGTTATGTTGAGGCAGTGTGTTCTGTTATGTTGAAGCAGTGCGTTGTGTTATGTTGAAGCAGTGCGTTGTGTTATGTTGAGGCAGTGTGTTGTCTTATGTTGAGGCAGTTTGTTGTGTTGTGTTGAGGCAGTGTGTTGTCTTATGTTGAAGCAGTGCGTTGTGTTATGTTGAGGCAGTGTGTTGTCTTATGTTGAGGCAGTGCGTTGTGTTATGTTGAGGCAGTGTGTTTGTGTTATGTTGAGGCAGTGCGTTATGATGTGTTGCAGCAGTGCTTGGTGATATTTTGAGGTAGTGCATGGCGATATATTAAGGTAGTTTTTGTTAATACCTTTCTTTTTCTTGTTGCATATAATCGTCTAATGTCATCATTATGTCGTGTTCTATTCTAACGGTAGGATTCTCTGAAGATCCACTGGATACTAGATCAAAACTCATACCTAGAGTTAAGTAGCAAATCACAAAATTAACAATCAAAATTCATACCTGTGCAGGTGTATAGAGGGAAATCACCTGCCATTACTAACGATCAAAGTGCATACCTTTTTAAACGACCTACGAAAATCTTTCTTATAACGATCAAAATTCATTCTTGTCGTTTTGTACATATACCATACATATGTCTCAAGCACAAAATTGACTCAGGATTACTTAAGACTGTGATTATAGTATATATTGGTTTGTTCCGGTGTAACATGCTGACCAGAGAGGCACTAAATCGGAAAGTCAGCTTAATCATTTTGATGAGAGGAAATATTTGATTGCCAAAGGTGAAATTTACGACTCTGAATCATATTTTATCACATTTAAATATAGGAGATTGTTTTACATGATATAAATGGCTTGATATGAAAACATTAAAACCATCTTTGTTAAGTAGTTAGGTAATATACTTAAGAGGTAAGTATATCCACTCAGGGTTTTGAAATAAAATTTTCCCCCATTAACTACACACTAAAACATAAATAAAATATAAGTGTTAATTACGGAAAAAATAACGAGATTTAAGGAAGGAACATTTTATACTCTTATACTGTTAAAATACTGGATATAAGATGAGTAAGAAATAATATCCTATTCTTTCCGATAAGTACCAGCCCAAAACATGTACCTGCACGAATCTCGTCAAGTAATACATATGTATTCCGGAACGAAGGTTTAAAACAAAACACAGGCATCCCCAGAACATGAGCCCACACAGGTATACCCAGAACACGAACCCACAACTCAACAGGAAATGGTCACCTGCACTACGTGCCCAATACACACATTCCCTCAACGCTGGAAAAGTATGCTGGCAAAAATACTATCAAGTATCAACTATGCTTTGTGTATATAAACCACCTTTGAAAACCGGACATATTTTGGATATAATTCCATTAGTGACCAGTTGCCGCAAGCACATTGTTTTTATCGTCGTATCTTGAACACTTGGATGCAGATCAAAGAAAACAATCGGTCTCGTTATATACTATTTAACACTTGCAAGAGGCCACTTATCTAATTAAAGTTCTTAGTTCGAATTTCAAATGTCAAAGAGAAGCTCACGACCAGTTTTGCTCTGGACGGTATCCTACAACACAAAAGTTCAAACTGTTTTTTTTATCCATTCCTTGTTCTTTCTTTACCAGAACCTTGCTGGAAAACTATGATCTTTGAATATCTAATTTTGATTTAAAATCCAGTGTTTAGTGGACGTCTTTGCATCCAAGCTACACCCTCAATTACGCACTTCTGAATAGATTTATACTCATCAGGGAGAGAAACTTTATCTCAAAAGGATTTTTATTGACAAGAATTTTTTAAAAATAATTTATTGCATTTTGTTCTTAGGTTTGATATTAATTAAAATCAGAATTAACTTCTAATAAAATACCAGCATATTGAATGAAAAAAATAAGGTAGATAAAAGGAAACTTTTCTAATGACATAAAGATGTTCATGTAATTCCGTATTTATACATTTGGACACAATGGAGAGCAGTTGATACTTATATATATATAAATAAGCTAATAAAATATGTATAAATAATCTATTACTCACTGTCATTGCTGGCCTCCATCAGTATTTCGTCCAGTGTCTTTTCTTCCATGGCATCTGCCTAAAAATAGAAATATTTTTCATTCAAACGTTAAAATGTATTTTACAAAAATTTGCGAATACAATATTTAACTGTTCAGTCGCTTCTCTCCTTTTTAACTTAATTTTTGCATATTTTTATAACAAGAAAAATAAAAGATATATTTCTTGCAAACCTTCAGAAGGTAGACTTTCTTATTTCACAGATCTATACTGACCAATAGAAATTAATTAAAACTTTCCCTACCTTTAGGTACAAACAAATAGCTATTAAGAGTCCTAGAGACTTCATAGTAGTGTTTCTACTGATCTGACGACTTTAAGGGTAAACTGTAGTTTTTGCCTTCCCCCTTCCATTTATATAAGTTGTCGCATGAGTCACTTCATGTACGTAGTGGTGTGCTCTCGTGCAAATTCTATCTCGGGTGCAATATTCTGAATTTTAATTTATACATAATATTACTCATGAAAAGTGAATTGGATCGGGCAGCAGGCAAAGCCAATTTCAGCCACCTCCCTACAACATTTCTGAATTTTGCATGTATAACAAAACTTCGATATTAAGAAATGACGACTTACAATAATTGGTTTTAATTAATTAAGGCACTTACTCAACATGTGAGCAGAAAATATGTATCTCAGATTCAGGGAATTCTAAAATAAAAACACATTATATACTTGCATGTAGCATCAAAGTGTGAAGCTTGTCCAGGAAAAAAATATTTAAAAAAATATATAGAAAATGGAGAAACTTATTTTTAAAGAGGGGGGGGGGGGTAGATTTTTCCTGATTCTACTGAAAAAATACTGTACAGTGACTTTTTTCCAGAAAAGAGCATAGATAACTTCTTGCCTTGTACTACAATATGAATGTACAAATTTTCCATGAATAAAGATTTTTTTGTATGGGGCAATATCTAAGAAATTAACTTGATAATCTAACACACACGCACACTTGGATACCAAGGACATATTCTACTCATGTTGTACACTAATCCCCCTGGTCAGAGCCGTCTCATCTGATGAGTAGGAGAGAATTGCTGACTTCCTCTACTCCTAGTTTGAATCATTATCCTGTACGGAATTCCGCGACTTCTAGTTACCCTGCCAGTTCGGTAATAACTCCATATATGAGCGAATTACATTTGCTTTCTCAAGGATCAGAAGTCTTGTCTAAAAATTAAATTATCAAGTTTAAGTCCATTTTATTTTCTCTTTCAAATATTTCAAAGTGAGAAGTAAATGAATATTCTGAAACACTACGGTTAATTGCAAAACTCAATCGCTTTGGGTTTTTTTCTTTGAGTGCAAAAAGGTTGTAGCCTACACATCATTTTCTCAGGGATAAAAATTTGGTTGAATAAAGGGGTGGGGAGTTGATAATAAATTGTTTTTTGTTGCAAATGCGAAAAAAGAATTCATTGCAATCCGCACTATTATGTTTATAGTTTTGCTTTATATTTAAGGACAAAACTATTCGCATAGGTGAAATGTTTTAAGCCAAAGTTGAAGTGTTATTAATATTAAGTCTGTATCAGAAAATTTCATCGAAAGTAATAAGTGCAGGGAATGCATGAAATTGATAACTTGAAATATATTTGGTTAGTAGGAAATAAAACGTATTGATCGAATGTTAATTATTCAGTAAGGAAGTTTCCATATTTCCTGAGCAGAGTATAAGGATGAGTTAAGAGTTCTCAGTTTTGTTAAGTGGTCTTCATATCACATTATAAACTGAAAATATGTCTACAATATTATTTTTACTGGTCAAATTGAAATTGTAGATGTCTGGGTTTGCAAAAATGCTCCCTTTGAACCTCCCCCTCCAATACCTATCGAGAGGGAGTTCCTTGCCTACCCACACTTTGCACCTCAGGTTAAATCTGTGACTTCACACTAGCCTACGGATTAGTAGAAAGGAATATATGCCACTGGCAAGAATAACCCTACTAGCATTAATTCTTTATTTTGAAGCTCTTCATTTTGGATTGGAAAACCCCAATGAATTAATTTTTTTCTAGATTGTTAAATTGCCTAACAGGTAATGATATGGAATACTTATCATAAGGGGACCTTCCGCCAATTTCGATGATGTTTCTAGAACACTATTTTATGAAAGAGAACGAGTCAAATTTCAATTGCTGTATATAAATAGATCATACCTCCATAATTAGATTTATAAAACGACCTATTGTACGTGATGAATGATTGTTTTATAAACTACGTTGTTTATTTAACACGTGTATGTAAAGTAAAAGGTGAAGTGAAATAATAGAGATAACGGTCAGTATTCAAGCTTATAGTCCAGTGAAACAATATAAATCGGGAGCAGGGCAAACACGGACCTTCAAAAACACCAGAGGTGGGATCAGGTGCAATGGAGGAGTAAACATTAGGGTTGGCACATGATCAAATCTACCATAAAGCCCTTTAGGGGATTTGATCACATGACCAACCCGTCTTTACAACCTGATAAAAGTTTTAAAACTTAAAATAAATAATAAGTGTAACCCTTGTATATAGACTTTTGTTTGAGATACAAAAAAAAATATTGAATATTGATTTATATAACACTTTTTACATGAAACACGTACAAAATTGTAATGTTGGGATGCTTAATTGGTTTTAAATACATTGTACTATTCACTTTAAGTATACAATTGTAAGAATGATGGAATTGTATGTTCGCTTGAAAGTGTGAGAAAAAAAGGACATTAAAGGACATTGTCGGTGAGTTTGAGGAAGAGGGCTAGAAAACTATATCTAGTGTTTGTGAATTAGATACAACGTAGAATGTCACAAACACGGATTCAGAAAAGGCGCACTCCCTTCCGCGAGAGAGAGAGAGAGAGAGAGAGAGAGAGAGAGAGAATATCGATACGCTTTCTCTAAGGACCATATATTTCGTATTCCTACCATAAAATCCTGCACGTTTGCCATTTTGAGAATGTTATTTGAACAGGTTTTGAATCTGTTTTTCAAAAAAAGGGAAACATTACACATATAGATATTTAGTTTAAGGCATAATATGAATGGATGAATGATTTAATGCGGAGATTTAACAACAAATAGTTCTAAATAAGTTATATTTTACTAAGTGTCCAAAATACTAGGGGTGATCAAAAAGTTCGCGACCTATCTCTATATTTACAAAACCACAATTCAGATCAGAATGAAATTCGGCACACATATAGTCATACACATGTTCTATAAATAACATATGTTAAATAATGTCTTGCTCCGTGTTTGTGACGTCACAATATGAAAATGACGTCAATATGTAGGTCACTTGTGACAAAAAATGGTTGACTCAGTCGTACTCGAGCAACGAACGGCTGTAAAGTTTAACGTATATCTTGGAAATTCCTTTGCAGTAGAATATGATAATTTGTACAAGGTTTATGAAGACAAAAGACTTACCAGAAGTTCAATCATTAATTGGATTGATTGTTTAAGTAAAGACAGGGAGACGGTTAAAAATGATGTTTGTTCTGTTGCCCAGCGAAAGAAAGCCGGGGAAAAGATGTGTCCTTAGTTGAGTAATTTGTTATGAAACATCGTCAAGTAACAATTAGAAAAATGGTTGTATATCTTAACAATAATATTATTATTAAAGCTGTAAAATATCGTTTACTTTAGACTTTAAACATATGAGATATGATGAAAAAGAAGGCGCCCATACTTTATCAACATTGGATAAACGACTCTCCCGAGACAGAGGACTCGGGTTTTGAAGGGTCACCATACTAATTGTGGGAAGGGATATCCTTATCCACCCATCCTATCGCCGAGATTTGGCCATTTCTGACAGATGGACTGTTTTTGTTATAAAAATAACTTGCATGGTAAGAAATATAAGACTCGGAAAAATCTTTTACCTTCTCTGAACAGACTGCTTCAGAGCATGTCACGTGACTGCCTCGATCACGTGATTCGCGCATGGGAAGAACAATGGCAGATGTGCATTAAAATCGGAGAGGATTACTTTAGAAAATAATAAACACTGAAACTCCATTTTATTTTTTTTAAAGAAGTAATTCAATTAGTTCGCGAACTTTTTGATCACCCCTCGTATATGATACCATTTGAAATACCTGCCACAAACACATCCATTGGCTAATTTCTTTGATATATGTCTCTAAAAAATATTTGAATAAGTACAATTTTTAGCAACAAAATATTCAAAAAAAATTCTAACACTTAAATGAAATTTCAATGTATCATATTTACATCAAAGTTTTGCAAAAAACTGCAATTTCAATCAAAATGGATTATTAAAACTGAACACGATTCGTAAAAGGAATGTGTCCGCCATTTTTGATCGGATTCTCGCTATATCTGAGGACCCCTATATAAAGCGGCCGACTTAGTCACTGTTCAGTGTAATCAATCGTCACCTATGTAGACGGACGTATACTATACAGCACTCGGTAGGGACGAAAATATAACTATACTTTTTTTTACGCAGGAAAGTAAGATATCAAAGAAACTTATAATAGTTGCATAGGTCAGTGCAGTATACAAACAAACACAAATACACGTACCTGCAATAAAATGTAAACAAAGGTAATGCAAGATAACCAGCACGAACACGCGGGTCGCCATGCCACGCCGATACCCGTGACGATAAAGCAGTCAGGTGTAACGAATGCGAGGAGTATACCCTGGTGCTGAAATCGTAGATAGTAATATAAAAATGGCGTATGCCTATTTACGAGTCATATTCAGCTTTAAAGGAGCTAGCTACCCTCGTTTTGAAACTGTAATTATCAATCCTAGTCTTAGATTACTGCTGATAAACACAAACCGGAATCCTTAACATATATAAAAGGTTTATCTCTGCTGAAAGTCCAGAAGTTACTACCGAGACGGGCACAGTCTCAAGTTAAGGAACTTTGTGCAATGTCTAGACATTATCATTACACAGATAGAACGTCATTAAGAGGGCATCATTTCAAAACCATAGCATTTTTCAAAGTGAACTAATTTTGTTGTTGTCTTTTTAACGAATGTCAAATTATGTGAATAAAATAGGAAAATAAAAATATAAAATCACAAAATTTTATCAAAACCAAAAGCATCAAAACGTTAATCGAATACAGTGAAACGATTAACATCAAACGTAAAGTTTTCAACACTTTATACAACCATTCCCCACGATAAATTGAAGTCCAAGCTTTTTGACATCATAGACAGCTGCTTTTTCAATAAAAATGGAACTCGTAAATATACTCTGATTGTACACACAAGTACTTTGAAGTTGATATTAAAAAGATGCTCGAGTTTCTGATTGACAAAATCTATGTAGTTTTTGGAGATCAGGTCTTCCAACAAT